CCTTTTTTGTCTCTCTGTAGTCATTTTGTTTCTCTTTGAAATCTTTTGTGTCTCTCTGTAGTTGTTTTGTGTCTTTGTGTACTTTTAGGGGCTCTCTGTAGTCATTTCTGTCTCTTTGTAGTCGTTTTGTGTCTCTTTGTAGTTGTTTTGCGTCTCTTTGTAGTCACTTTGCGTCACTTTGTGGTCTTTTTGTGTCTCTGTCTGCTTTTGTGTCTCTTTGTAGTCGTTTTGTGTCTCTCTGTAGTTGTTTTTTGATCTCTGTAGTCAATTCTGTCTCTTTGTAGTCGTTTTGCATCTCTTTGTAGTTGTTTTGCGTCTCTTTGTGGTTGTTTTGTGTCTCTGTCTGCTTTTGTGTCTCTTTGTAGTCGTTTTGTGTCTCTCTGTAGTTGTTTTTTGATCTCTGTAGTCAATTCTGTCTCTTTGTAGTCGTTTTGCATCTCTTTGTAGTTGTTTTGCGTCTCTTTGTGGTTGTTTTGTGTCTCTGTCTGCTTTTGTGTCTCTTTGTAGTCATTTTGTGTCTCTCTGTAGTTGTTTTTTGATCTCTGTAGTCAATTCTGTCTCTTTGTAGTTGTTTTGCATCTCTTTGTAGTCGTTTTGCATCTCTTTGAAGTTGTTTTGTGTCTCTGCCTGCTTTTGTGCCTCTTTCTAGTCATTTTGTCTCTGTATTTGTTTTCTGTAGTCATTTTGTGTCTCTTTGAAGGTGTTTTGAGTCTCTTTGTAGTTGTTTTGTGTCTCTTTGTCTGCTTCCTGAGTCTCTTTGTAGTCATTATGTGTCTCTTTGAAGTTTTTGTCTCGTCATTGCCATCGTATTTGTCTTTTTTTCCTCTCTTTAGTCGTTTGGTCCCTTTTTAAATCATTTGCGTACTTTTGAAAGCTATTTGTGTCTCTTGTCATTTTATCTTTTTGTAGTCCTTTTGTATCTCTGTAATCATTTTGTGTCTCCTTTGTGTCATTTTGTGGTGATTTTGTCTACTGTGGTCTTTTCAAGTCTCTTTGTGGTCCTTCTGTGTCTCCTTGTGGTCGTTTTGAATCCCTTCATGGTCGTTTTTGCCTCGTCTCTTTGTGTTGTTTTTTGTGGTCATTTTGCAATACTTTGTAGTTGTTGACTTTCCAACAAGCCGAGGTGCCCTTGAGCAAGGCACCGAACCCCCTAACCACTCGGGGTGCCTGTCCATGGGCAGCCCCCTCTGACATCACTCCATTTAATGCATGTATAGGTCCTGTTTGTGCATGTGAGTGTATTTCAGCCCTGTGTGTATATGTATATGACAACAGAGTGAAAATATTGAATTTCCCCTTGGAGACTAAAAAAGTATATAAAATTAAATTAAAGAAACGTTAACATTCACTTCGAACAGAGGCTCTGGTCCAGTAATTTGGTAATCCATCAATAGTCATGCACAGACGGTTAGGTTATTTAAGAGGAATATACATGAATTTCCTGGAACTGCTGAAACCAGGCATTTGGTCAAAGTTTTAGTCACACAGCCTACTCTTTAATAATTTAATAGTCCAACAGTCTTTGGAGTTTGGAAATAGAAACCGTTTTGAAATAGACTGGAACATATGTAGGTAGGAGTTAAAAAAATATGGCAATGTCGTATCTCAAAACGACTGCTCATTTCCTTTCGGCCTTTTTCTGCCATTTTATTCTCAGCTAGATGACAACAACCCTGCAGCACAGACGCTTGGCAGTGCTTTACTCATACAGCCAGGTGTTGAGAATACAACACTCTCTTCCCGTCTCATACACAGTGTACAAATTCAACACTAAGGCCTGAACTCTGTGGATCGAGAGCTAAAGGGCACACACGAGAAATCAAAAGCTTGCAGGCAAATAAATAGCATATCCATAACACCGAGATTGCCCTTTGTACAATTCAGAGGCCTGCTGACTCTAGTCGTTCCTTAAATTGATTTCTCATATGCGGCTGCCTCGAGGGGGCGATTCCATTTTCATATATACACTGGCTCTCTGTATGTATGCTCTCTGTCCTAGTCTATTAATCAAATAATGCAATCAATTTTACCTTGCAGGACTACGACACAGGCCATTTCTTTTGTGAACAGCTTTGCATGTCTTTAATAGGAGTTTGTGACTGCTGTTGGATGGTGTGAAGAATTGTGTGCAGCATTGTTGCAGTGTCAAGTTATCAGCGTGGCAAGAGATATGAGCTGAAACTTTAAGGGCACAGATTTCAGAAAAAAAATGCTGCCTGCAAGATGTGAATTCCTGAAAACAGAAAAATCTGCACTACCCTTATAAATATTCACCCAGTGATTCATTTTGTGTGATTGAGTGCAGCATGCATGTGTGCCAATGCATTTCTGCTTGCTCATGTCAGCATGTACATAACACCAGAGCTACAGGATGGAAGCAAACCCTGAACGCATGCTTAAGCCCAGGCTCAGGGTGCGATGAGAGACACTTAAGCGCAGGGGCATAAATCTTTTAAACCCTGAGCCACTGACATTTCCCCCCAGAGATACAGCGAAATATCTTAATTACGCCACTTAACATCACATCGGCGAGTCCCGGGTGAGCCCAAGCAAGCATATAATTCATTGTACTAAGCATCAGTAAAAGCCAAATACATAAACCTTCAAGGATGCATACTCAATGCAGGGGAGACGATGAGCTGGGACTTCAAAAGCAAATGTTTCCCTTCAGGAGCTGGGGGGGGGGGGGGGGTAAAGGATATCTGCAGAGTTAGTGTGGACACCTCGCTGAGTCCTGTCAGGAAATCAACCTGTCGTCAAGAACTACCAAAAGCCAGTGAAAACTCTTCCTGGTTCTAGTCCTTGTACTGATTGTTCGTGTCTGCTCCAAGGCCCCAACAGTGATAAAAGACACTGAGAACTGAACATCCTTCTCAGACTCCAGCACAAACCCTTCATCTCAGAGCTCCCCTTGTTATTCACATTACAGCAGGTTCTCTGCATTGTCTAATGGGTCAATTTGTGTGGACTCTGCTATCATGAAAAGCATGATACGAATGTAAATTGGTTGGTAGGGTGATGTAATTCCACTGCAACAAAGGGAAAGTAACAAAGCAATGAATATTCCAGTTAAGGCTTAAAACTGTATAGTCTCTTTGTTTTACCTCAGAGGGATTAAATGTAATAATAAATGAAAACACGAGTCACTGACGCTCTGTATGTATCATCTTCCTCATCCTTCTCTCCATCATAACAGCAGTTTCTGGCAGTCGCATCGATTGAAACGGTGGAAACATGAACTGCCAATAGCTCTGTGTAATATTAAGGGTAGTTAAACTCTGTGCTTCTGTGGCCTGAGGCGTCGTACTCCATATGCTAAGTTTAAATCTTCATATTGAGGGTTTGTTGCTGTTTTCAAGCCACAAAACAGTCACACATTAAACAAGGAATCATCCAAGAAATCTCCACATTGCAAGGTGGCGACTGATTTACAGTTTAAATCACAACTTTCCTCATTAGGGGTGTTAACATTATACATTCATGGCGTCACAGGGACCTGCCATTAAAATCCATTGTCAGCTCCTCAAACAGAGGTTGTGTGCAGCATACTTAAGTATACTAAAAATATATCTATGATTCTGTATGTTTGCTTGGGGACCCTGTGAATCGCCCCAAGAGTGCTCCCTAACTCCCACTTTGACACCCACTGCCCTGGAGGACTTCAGCACAAGCAGCCTGAGATGCAACACGCTTTAACGACCACTGGCTTCACTCTTGGCACCACTTTGCAGCGCTCTACCCCCACCTGCCGTTGTGCGCCAGGAACCCAGTGTGGCCACACTGCAAAAAATGTCCATCTAAAAACTCACTTTTTTTTTTTTTTTTTTTTGTTAACTCTTGAGACCTTTTGTTTTCTTTTAACAAGTGGTGGAATTTCGCCAAGGGGTGGAGAGGGGCAGATAACCGATGCAAATTAACTTGTTGCAACAGAAACAGAAACCTTAAACGCATGTGCATTGGCAAAGAAGGAGATAAAATAATCTCATCCTGCAAGCAAATCTTTTTTTCGCTTCAAGAAATGGATTACTGGGAAATCTGAAGCTACAGGAGTTGGGTATTTTTCGCAGTGCACGCCGGGGCTCAGCCCGCGGTGACACAGCGACGCGCCTCACGGACCAGTTATATCTACAAGAGAAAGAAAAGGAGGACCAGAAGCGACTGCTTTCAATCAGTGCTTTTTAGCACTCACTCACAGGTTACATCTTTATTCCCCCTCCGCGTGTGCAACTCACACACACACACACACACACACACACACACACACGCGCGGGCGCGCGCTGAGACAAGCATCGCCCCTCCGGATCAGGTGCGCAGCGCACATGAAACCCAATTAACGGTGAAGTGTCACTCTGCTGTCACTAATGCGGCTCATATTTCCAAACTTTCCGAAGCATTTCAGACTATGTGTCCGCGTCACGGGCCCGGTGTTACCATGCACAGCCTGCGCACGAGATGCAGACCGTGGAATATCCAGTAAAATCACACAGTGTAGCAACACAGAGTGGACTTGAGTGTGAAGCAAGAAAGGCGGTGGTCCAAACACATATGATTCACATTATGGGGTTTAAATTCTCCATGTTGAAGTTGGGGGACATGATTGATTTTTACGCTTAAAGCTTTGCAAATAATCCATACACCAAAACAACGCAGCGCCCCAAAGGCTGCTCTTAAAGATTAAAAAAGAACTCAACAACGAGGGTAAGCCGTGCCAAATGATGGAGATAACAGTTTGTGTCCGGGGAGAACAGAGTGTATATCTCAACAGCTCGCCCACCCTAAAAAAAGGACCCCATCATAATCCCCCTTTTCAGTAAGAAAGCATTCTGGCCCCTGCAAGACGTGCTCCAACTACAAAATAACGTCCAGTTAAACAATCCACCCCTCTCTCTCAATCCCTCTGCCTCTCTGCCTGCTGCAGATCACGATGGCAAATACACTCAACTTGTCCACAAAGTCACCAAGCTCGAGGTGTTTCACACACTCACGCACGCTGTCCCTACCTTGGCTGCCGCAGACGAGCACCCCGAGGAGATGGACGAGTTTGAGCATCATTTTCGGGCAGGTTACGGGCTGCCGGACGCTGCTGCTTTCAGCTGCTGTAAAAAACGACAAGGGCGACACACACGCTCGGCTCCGTTCATCCGCCGTCTTGGGCTCCGCTGGCGACTGATCTGCCTCAGCTCCTTTCCTTCCCTTCCTTCCTATACGCGCGCTCCCGCTCGCCGCTCGTTCACCGCGCTTCTGCCTCTGCGCTGAGGAGGACCCCCCCTCCAGCATCACTTCTCTCCAACATCACTGCTGGAAGCTGTTGATGAGAAGCAGTCAAGAAGGAGGCAAATCAAACCAAACATGTTTATGTCTTTCAGGACTTTATTTTGAGGATTCAAAACATGTTGAGAAGTTGTGAGGAGAGGGTCTCAAGGAAAATACTTCTAGAAATATGGGTGCAAATCAGCAGGGATGTAGCTAAGAATTCCGGTGGATCTCTTCCAGCTTTGGGCCCCTGGAATCCACCACATATATTTCCACTTTGGAATAGCAGTGTCTATTTAACTCTGAAGTCCAGGCAAACATGTAAAGGAAGGAAAAATGTCTCCCCCATGTGAATACTGCAGATACTGTGGGGTCAACTTTCCCCTCAACTCAGTGGGCCTCGTGCAAGACACATTATCTTATCCATAACTTCTTTTAGCTTTTTCATAACAGATTTGCTCGCAAAAACGTTGCAATTTTGGATTCACCTTGAACAAATCTGTGGTAACTGCTCATCTCAGCCTGACGACCACCACATGTTTAACACAAGTTGCCAGCCACCGCCAGCATTTTGATCATATTCCCTAATCTTTCAAGACCCACAGACTAATTCGTTTTTTGCTTAATTTGTAAGTATTTGTTTGAAAATACTTATAACTAGTCCATACCCATTGAGTGCACAGTTTCCCACGTACAGTTTTACATGGTGTGTGTTTGGGATTCAGGTCATAGGAAATTGCAGATTAAATAGTCATCTGAACCCATTAAGAAGAGCAATGTATTCAGACAGAGTGTTTGTGAATTTGATAGTACGATTGCTTTATTGAAAGTACAGTAGTACCATTGCCAATAGTGGGATAGTTAGTGGGCTAAAACTGTACATTAGTAGTTGAGGTGGCACTTTGAAAGGCAGATAGTTAAAGTGTCTATGTTGTATTGACTTAGAAGAGGGGCGCACTGGTAGTTCACATGGGAAACATAGATTGATCATGTCAGTGAGTAGAAAAACATGGGACAGAGAGAATGACACACTGACAGTTTCCGTGATTATGTACACCATACCATACCATGACTTAGTCTTACCAAAAATTAGATCGCTCAAACTTCCTAGGAAGAGATCGATTTTAAGTGTTTTTCAAAAAATTCAAAATGGCGGAAAATCTATATAACCGGAAGTTATGGGTTCTCGAGACAAATGTGTTCCTCATGAGGAGAGGCATCACTGTGCAAAGTTTCATGTCTCTATGATATACGGGGCATGAGATATGCCCATTCAAAGTTTGCAATTTCAATTGGCTGCTATAGCGCCCCCCTTTGGCCAATTGATGTAATATTGCTTCATTCACATCCTCCCATGACCCTCTACCACTGTGCCAAATTTCACATGGATTGACCAAGTCAGTGAGGAGAAAAACGTGGAACAGACACACAGATACACCCACAGACAGATAGAGTTTTCGTCATTATATAGTAAGATAAGATAGTAAGACATAGTAAGATAATGAAAATTCATTCGTGTCAACTCTGTTGTCTCCCATTCCACTGTGGTCGTCTTGTCCGTGTGTCACTGTCACCGTCATGGAGATCCCGTTTCGTGCCACCAAACTCGTTTGCTTCATCGTCCAAATCAGACTCAGAATGTTGATCAAAACAGGAATTGTCAGAGTCTGAGTCCAGCAACATCTCCACAGCTTGTGCAACTGTAAACTTTTCTGTTAGCACCAGCATTTAAGTTGCAACCTTTCTGTAAACAGATTTCCAGTGGATCTTCCTCTTTGTTTTTTGTACACAGCGGTCCTGTTCTATTCAGTTTAGAAAGATTTTTTTTTTTTTTTGTCAGACAATGAGTTTTAAAGGAGATGTAGTTTACCTTGACATGTTTCGACTGTCACTGCAGTCTTCTTCAGAAGCGTCATCTGACGTGCGTCATGACGTGTCTTTATCAGCTNAAAGGAGATGTAGTTTACCTTGACATGTTTCGACTGTCACTGCAGTCTTCTTCAGAAGCGTCATCTGACGTGCGTCATGACGTGTCTTTATCAGCTGGTAGTATCCCGGAGGTGTGACCAGCCTGGCAAATCGGATTGCCAGGCTGGTTCTAATTCACAAAATGTATAACAGCGCCCCCTATCTTATAACAGTGAAAACACAGATTACCGGAATATCTCTTCAATGGGGGGGGTAGTGTAAAGAGGAAGTGTGCATTTGTGAGATATGATCATTAGCACAACTGTCGTCCCTGAAACTCCCCCACAAGGGTAGCTTTTTGGCTTCACGTGTGGGCAAGTTGCATCCATAAAAATGTCACCAAAGAGGGAAAATAAAGATCTCTGAGCTAGCCGGTTTGCTAATGTCAGTCAGCACCAATGTCAATTTCTAAATGCTACATCCTGGGGCCAGATGCATAAAACTCAGTCAATCGCAATCAGTAAATGTTGTGCCCGCTCCATCACTCGCTGGACCAGCGGCGTCGCATCGACAAGGTTCTTCAACAGTGCCAGAACAGCTGTCATGAGGCATGACTGTAGCAACCAATTCATCACAATTTTGCAAACCATCATTGCACTAAAATCTGAAACATCATTATTATTAAATGTCAGACGAATGATCGAGGATTCACTCATAACACTCATGTTAAAACTGACTTTACAAAGTAGGCTACTTCACAGCTCAGGATAAAATAAATGATCAGTTAAGGCTCAGACATGCTTTCTACGACCGTTGGGTCAAAGTCATGCAAATGCGCAGGCTGTTCTATTCATGGTACAACTGAGGGTCTGTGTCAGCCCCTAGCAGTAAACTGGAGGGCTGTGAGGTGAGCTTACCATTGGAGGTCAAAATCTGGCCTTTAATCACAGCATCCTTATCCAAACAGTTAATTTAATTAACAATAGTTGGATTGTAATCAGGTTCACAGTGTACAATCAATCTTTGAGATTCTGACCTTTAATTACAGCACTCATCAGTATAATGTTCTCACTGGAACACAGTGCTGAAGAGCAACTTCCCTCCAAGTTTTGCCAAAATTTAAGCATTTGTGTCATAATGTCATTTTTTAATGAAAAATTACCTTTAATTTTATTGCCTCTGAAGGCCAGAACAGCGCTGAAATGTGCCAAAAGTTGTCTTGAAAATCTTTTGCAGAAGTAATTGCTTTTCAGATTTTATAAATAGGAAGCTTTTTTTTTTCTCAGCAGAACAACTTTGATAAACACTCCCTCTGTTACCTGCCCAGCACCAAACAGAAGACAGACAAAGTTTTTTTTTCCCCGTTAAAGGGTTTTTTTTTGGGGAGTTTTTCCTTATCCGCTGCGAGGGCCATAAGGACAGAGGGATGTCGTATGCTGTAAAGCCCTGTGAGGCAAATTGTGATTTGTGATATTGGGCTTTATAAATAAAATTGATTGATTGATTGATTGGTTAGCAGGTGAATATTAAGTGATTCGTGGAGAATTTAGCAGTTAGATAGCCACATATTTCTCTCAGCAGCTGGTGGAGACCAAAACAGATCTTAAAGATGAGTAAATATTTGATTTACATTCATCAGGTGGCTAGAAACACTACTCTAATTAAATGCTAATGTTTATTGATGTCTGCTGGATGTGTGAATGGAATGGAAACATGCTTGCATTTTACGAATATAAACTTTAAAAGGTGATATAATGTCAGTGTTGTGGTTACAGCTTGTTTTGCTGCCCCTAAGTGGCTAAAAAGTCAGCCAATGCAGTACCAAAATCTGCAATAGCTTCAAGTTTAGTCCAAGACATACTGGTATCCTACAAATAAGTGGTTCTCAAATGGTGTGCTGTGATGCAAATCCAGGTGTGCCGTGGGACTTTGTGATAACCACACATTATTAATGCAATACTCAACTGGGCCTATACAAAAAGTTCTAAATGAATTTTTAATTGACTGTATAAGTATGTTTGTTTGTTAACAAAAAGGCAATTTCTGGCTAAAGAAAATGTAATTTGATTTAATTTAAAAAACCTTCACAGGGAACCTACTTGTCGCCATTTGTGTGAGGGAAATATAAGTGTGTGAGACACACACACATTATCTTACATTATTTCCTGTTTAAATGGATGTGTTATTAGTGCTTTGATGTCATTTTAAAGCATTTAAAATTAATAATTGAATAATCTCCTTAATAAATATTTCAGGAGTAATAGTTAGTTGTCAATTGTTATTTGATATTAGTAAATAAAAACAAACGTATATGTCGTTATAAGAGTGACAACACACGTTACAGAGGTTATGGTGCTCAGATATAAATACAGGTGTGCCTTGAGATTTTGGCTTGCCCTTTGGTCTGCCTTGGGCACTTCAAGTTTGAAAACCACTGCTAGATATGATTTGTAGACTATCCAGTGTAAACTAATAGTCTCAAACTAATATGTCATCCAATTTTTTACCCCAAGAAGAAGCAATGAAACATCCTATAAAGAACATGCAGAAAAGAGTGCAAACCCACTGACAATCTGACAATCACTGTGTGTCTTTCAGACCTGTGTGTAATTGACAAGCAAGAGTGAAAACATTGAATTTCCCCTCAGGGGGATTAATAAAGTGAATAAACTTAACTTAAACTTAAACTTAGACTTAACTTAATCTGTTAAGTTTCATATATAGAAAGTATCAGACATGATAGACATCTTTATGGAGAGCATTTGGCTGGAAGTGTGAGGGTTTCAGCTTTGCTCACCCTTGTGTTTCCTGTCTCCTCTTCCTAGTGTCTCACATTTGGCCAAATCCAAAAGTACAGACTTCACTGCACTCGTAGCCTCGCAGACTCTGCAGGTGCATTCACAGAAGGTCTGGGAGTGCTGAGGGCTGCCCAAGGCTACAGTTCATCCAGCCCACAAGGGGCCTCAAGTGGACTCTCTGCAGACTTTGAGAGACTCCACTTGGGGTGCAGACTTCATTCATTTAATAACCCA